CTGATATAAAGTAGCTTTTTATTATCGTATTAAATTTATATACAATGTGTTCAAAATATATTGCTGCTTTAGCGGTTGATTACACCGGATGTGTAATAAATTTTGATTGCTATCGGTACTAAAGTTACAAAGTTAGGTAAATTTTTGTCTCATTTAATGATATACTGTATTTTTGAAAGATTTTCTAACAGATTAGATATCTCTCGAAGTTTGTTCATCGTCAATGACATATTTATTCTTTGCCTTCGTTTGATGACGTATCAGTTTTCTACGTCATGCGTCAGGTCCGTCAGGCCTTCTCACTCGATGGTATCGGTATAACAAAGTTATTTTGCGATGCTTTAAAGGTCCGTTTTTTTTTCATTTCAAATTTTATTATAATAATTAAATTAATTATTAAAAGTAATTTTGTATTTCGGATTCTGTTTGCTCTATATGCGCTCATAGTTTTCATATACAGGGTGATCCGAACTGTATTCCGGAAACTTCGGCAGTAGATATATTCTGCAGATAAAAGTAAGTATTATGTCCTAAAATGCTTAGTTTCGGAGATACAGGGTGTAGAAATTTCATTTTAATTTCGATTTTTTTCCCAAATAATTTCTGAAGTAACGTCAATATTTGGATGAAAATTGGTGTCTGGGAGTTTTTTGGCATGAGAAATTGAATGATTTTGATGTCAATATTGCTCCTACTTGTAGAGGGCGCCACCTGCATATTTTTAACTGGTTTGAAGACTAATAATTTTTTCGTCCGTACCTCTATAAAGTACTGAGACTTCTAAGACAAATTTGTAATTAATTTAAAAAGATAAAACGTTTTCAAATTTATCATTTCAGTTAAATGCCAAACTATCTATACTCAACATGTTTATTTTTTCTCAATAATGACATAATACAGGGTGGCCCATCGAAAACGTTCCGCAAGGCATAACGGCCAGAGTAATTTTTTTTTCAAAAAATTCAAAAACACGTCAATTTTGTTTGTGAGGGGGACAACTTTTGCCCAAAATATGATTGCAAAATCTTCAACCCTCTAAGCGGGGGTGTCATCCCCCAACTTTTTTCAAATGGGAAGGGGGGTCAAGTGGCACCGCAATGAAAAGATCTTTCTATTCTCTATATTTCCCCGCTTCGTTTTTGAAAATCGGTCGAGTCATTGAGAAAATATGAAGGATTGAAATTTGAAAAGTATTCAAACATTTATCAGAGTAAATGATAAGGATAAATTCCTTCGACCAATTTGCTGTTTTTTCTTATTATTTCTAGATGTTTACGCATTTTTTCACTTGCCCAAGGTTGAACGATCAGGTGCGGTAGTTGCTAGATAGCTGTTCTGTGACTTGTGCGTTGAAGTTCTTCTCAATATCGTTAAACTTTTTAAGAATCATGGTGTACTCACTTGCAGAAAAAGTGGAAATAATCGAACTTTATTTTAAAAATAATGAATGTATCGGGTTGCGCACTATCCTGAAAAACACCTTTATGGCAAAATTGTTCGCGAGTTAGTAGCAAAATTTCGCGAAACTCTAAGTAAATGAAGCTATGGAGGTATTCGTATTGGGCCAAGTTGCCATGGATAGTACGCTGAGTACAATTAGCCAATGAGATCGGCGTGAATCGCACAAGTGTCCAAAGGATATAACAGTTCCACCCGTACAAAATTCAGTTGGTACAACTCAACGAAGACGATTTTGATCGTCGTTTGCAATTTTGTGAAACTATGAGTGAACGAGTGGCGAATGATAATAATTTCCTATTTAATGTGTGTTTTTCGTATGAGTGTACGTTCTTTTTGAACGGTGTAGTTAATCGGCACAACTGTCAGTACTGGGCTGAGGACAACCCCAGGGTTTTTCACGAGGTGCACACTAGTAGTGGGAACTATCGAATGAATACCGAAACATTCGATAGTTGCAATTCATTCGAATAATTCGATAGCTAGTAAGAAAACATTCGTCGAAAACTATTCGAATAAAAATATCGAATAGATGCGTCATCTGCCTTGAAATATATTAATTCGGCAGCAAAAACCATTTATTTATAAAATTCATTCATTTGTAAAATTCATTTATTCGTCAGGATCGATTATAATAAAATATAAACTGGATTTTAGTTGTCGCCCGGCGACGTAGGTTTCTTTCCTAGAAACCCGACAGCGGTCTGCCGGCGGTCGGTGGCAATGGTATGAAAAAAGCCGGCATCTTTGATTTTGAGTCAGATAAAGATAAGGACACATTATTTTTTTTATTGAGGTGCTAGTATTTACACAGAAAATACATTATGAACGGCGCTGTTGCCGTATATTCGTATTAGTTGGTATTAGCAAAGAATATTATTCTTTGGTATTATAGTTAGTTAGGGATAGTATGACCTGTGGTTTTGGTATGACTATATATTTTGCATTTTTTTATTAATATTCTGTCTGTTTTTACACTGCAATAATACTTTTTATTTTGGATGTAGGAAAATGATTTTTAATGTTTTAAGCAAAACTGGTTTAATAAATAATAATAACAGTAATAATTTGTTATACCTATTAATAGCAAAAATTTAAAATCATTTAATATAAACATTTTTTAAGTAGTAGCAAAATATAAACAACAAAATAGAAGTCAAAATTATTTATATTAGATCCTATTTAAAAATAATATAGTCTCTAAATTTTTTGGCAACGTTGGTTTATTAAATAATAATAATTACAGAACTAATTTGTTATATTAACAACAAATTTTAAAATCATGAAATATAAACATTTAATAATTTTCTAAGCATGCAGTGTAATAGAAGAAAAATATAAATAAAAAATTAGAAATCAAAATTATATATGTTTATTACTTTGTACTAGTATTTAAAAATAATATTAGCTTTTACTGGCATTTACTTTAAAAAATAAATGAAATATTTCTTCGCAAAAATCTACATGTAAGAGAATTAGCATAAACAAAATACAAATATCGTTAACTTTTTTTTAAATTGGCACGTGTAAAACTTTAATCAATCAATTTAATTTTCTCATCCCAAAATTTGAGTTCGATAACCATTTACTTAACCACATTACTTAAATATGATTATTAAGTTCAACTAATTCATATATTACTAAAACATCTAAAATACAAATACATATGTATTTTTAAAATTAATTGTAAGTTCACCTCATCTCTCTTAAAAATTGTTACTTCTCAAAATTTCCCATTAACAAAATAGACCATATACCGTATAAAATTAAATAATTGAAAGATCGGAAAATCACACAAATTTTCGGAAAAATTTTGACCGCCTGCACACGTACACAATCGTCAATTTAAAAAAAAACACTACTACTTTAGTATTTTAAATATTTTAATAAACGCAAAAATAGCACAGTATTTAGAAGGCAAGTTATAAAAATTTGGAAGAACTAATAATGCACTGACGCAGACAAAAATCAAACGAATACTAAATTTCATTTATCAAAAGCATTCGATAGTCGTGGCTTAACGATAACCATTTAGTCGCACGGCGAGGTTGTCACATATGCTTTAGTATACAAATGAATGAATGATTTTATTCGAATGAAACCATTCGATAGTTGAAATCATTCATTCAGTAACCATTCGATAGTCTAATTCATTCGATAGTTCCCATCGCTAGTGCACACACAAACCCCTCAGAAATTGAACGTGTGGGCTGGTATTTTTGGAAATTCTATTGTAGGTCAGTTAAACGATATTGAGAAGAACTTCAACTCACAAGTCACAGAACAGCTATCTAGCAACTACCGCACCTGATCGTTCACCTTGTGGCAAGTAAAAAAATGCGTAAACATCTAGAAATAAGAAAAAACAGCAAATTGGTCGAAGGAATTTATCCTTATCATTTACTCTGATAAATGTTCAAATAAACTTTTCAAATTTCAATCCTTCATATTTTCTCAATGACTCGACCGATTTTCAAAAACGAAGCGGGGAAATATAGAGAATAGAAAGCTCTTTTCATTGCAGTGTCACTTGACCCCCTTTCCCATTTGAAAAAAGTTCGGGGATGACACCCCCGCTTAGAGGGTTGAAGATTTTGCATTCATTTTTGGGGCAAAAGTTGTCCTTCTCACAAACAAAATTGACGTGTTTTTGGATTTTTTGAAAAAAAAATACCCTGGCCGTTATGCCTTGCGGAACGTTTTCGATGAGCCACCCTGTATATTAACTATTTTTATTCTAAATATATTGAGAACAGTTGCTTGTAGCGATTTTTATCGAGACCATTTTTACGTAAAAAACGTCGTAAATGTATATTTTTTTACTCGGTAGTTTTATACAGGTACGGAGAAAATGTTATTATTCTTCAAATCAGTTAAAAAATTTGTAGGTGTCGCCCTCTACAAGTAGGAGTCATATTGACATCAAAATCAAATTTCTCATGTCAAAAAAACTCCCAGATAATAATTTTCATCTAAATATTGACGAATATTACATCAGAAATTATTTGAAAAAAATCGAAATAAAAATGAAATTTCTACACCCTGTATCTTCGAAACTAAGCATTTTAGGACCTATATTTATGCGAACTTTTATCTGTAGAATATGCTGCTAAAGTTTCCGGAATACAGCTTGGACCACCCTGTATATTAATAAACCACAGATTTTTCTCTCACCAACTACTTGCCGCTATTTTAAAAACACCACTTGAACGCCAAAAGTTAAACCGTAGTCAACTAGGACATGAATCAACTCAATTGATATGATTTGTGGTCGAGTTTCATACGAAATGAATTCAAGTGATTTGATCATTTCATCTGGTTCGTGTAAACGCAACTTAAAAATGACTCCATCTCAATATTCGAATAAGACCCCCGCTGATCATAATTACATCACAAATATTTCGATTAATTGAATTTTATTAGAGATCTAAATTCAATTTCATATCGCAATGATCTATAAATGTTTCCTCTTTAATACCGTTTGTCATAATTTATATTTTTGATATTTTTTGCATATTCTAATCGTTTGCGTTTTGTTTCAGCAAGAAGCACAGTCTAGACAAGAAGAGGCGCATAGACAGGAAGCAAACCGACAGCACCAGGAGGCTGTGCAGAGACAACAGCAGGAAGAATACAGGCAGGTCACACCACGTTCATTTTATTTATTTATGTCGTTCTAAGTGCACTTAAATCAGAATCAGTTATTACCATATAGACATATAAGATAGACTAACAATATACATTAATTTGTTTTGATCCAACATACAGGGTGGCAATTTTGAAAACGAACAGTATTTAATATTGCCTCTACCGATGATGTATGAAAATCTGGCGAAACACGTCAATTTACGTATCAAGGGGGACAATTTTTGAGGCATTTGTTAGGTTTGAGGGTTGTGTTTACTTTCAACCTCTTGACTCCCAGGGCACCTACCCCTAAAATGTTAAATAGCAACCCCTATTTCTTTTACTATTTTTGTGTTTCTTATAGAATTCTACATAAACTGCATTATTTCTTTGAGAATTTTATAAGGAACACAAAAATGGTAAAAGAAATAGGGGTTGCCATTTAAAATTTTAGGGGTAGGTGCCCTGGGGGTCAAAGGGTTGAAAGTAACACGACAACAAATGCCTCAAAAATTGTCCCCCTTGATATGTAAATTGACGTATTTCGCCAAATTTTCATACTATCATCGGTAGAGGTAATATTAAATACTGTTCGTTTTCTAGTATAGCAAGCTGTACCTTGCTACTCCCAAGGCGTCAAACGCTATATACGGGAGCTACTATTATAGTATATACAATAAAATCTTGTTTACTTCGCACTAAAATAGGTAATCGAAACTTTCGAAAAATTTGAAGTCGTTCTTAAGAAAATAAATAAAAACAAAAAAGCCCAGAATCAAAATCCGCACTTTATTTTTAATACGCCACACCTGGCATGTTGAAAAGCGGCAACACGGCCGCGGCCGGGCCTCCATGCTGACCCACCACCACCTCCACACAAGGCCATTCAACCTTTTCCAATATGGCGGAGATAGAAGTGCTTTATTTGGCGCGTATTTTAAAACCTGTTTTATTTCCAAATAGACATTTTTCACACAAATGTCGGGTTAGATTACGTAATATTTCACTAATTTTTTTAATATACAGGGGGTCTAAAGTTTTCCACATAAGTATGGAATTTTTTGTATTATTACTCTTATGAAAACATCAGTTAGTTACTTTTTATAAAAAGGTCTCCTTTCTCAGAAAATAGGTAGTGTTAAAATATTTAAACTTGAGGTAGCATATATAGGGTGTTCAAAATCATCGGAAAAAGAAATAACCAGAAATAATTATAATAATAGTTTAGAATTTACTGAACGTTTGATAAATATATACTATTATGGACAGTATAGGAAGTTACTTGTCTTAGTAAAAGTCTTGGTAAATGCTCTTGGAATTTAAACTACACTGGCTTGGGTCAAAAAATATGGAATATTTTTTCTATGTTTTGCAGCATTACAGAAATGGGAATAAATTTAAACTATAATAGGTGAGGATAAATAAAAAAATTTAATCCTATTATTATTAGGATTAGTAGGAGTGAAATTATCTCTTTTAATAGCTGTCAACCATTTTTTACGAAGCTCGACATTTTTGGGGAATATAAAGGCCTTGGGCTATAATTCCCGTGACAATTTGGAACAGAGCATGTAAAAGGCATGTTACAATAAAATGTTAATACCTACCCTTTAATACCTATCTTTTGATTATTGTAAGAGCAACCATTATAAAGTACTATGCAGACTGGCGGCGAAGGCTTTTTACTCATTTAGGTGTAATATCTTGATAAATACTTCTAGTTCTTACCTTAAAATAATTAATAATAGAGGAGTACGACAAGCACAAAAGCTTGAAGTTCCCTATGTGGAATGTCTGGTTTGGATTTTTATTACACTGTCATCACAATTTTCTGATCACACCATGCACTGAACACTAAGAACTAAAGAAACGTGTTGCAGAAGTGCAACAAACTAGAGATAATTATTTCTGGTATGCAATCGGAACGAGAAACCACTACCGGCTTTTCAGGTAAAAGGTAAACAATTTAATAATGCGCTGCCTTCGCCGCCATATTTGCCTTGCCCATAACATGTTGATTAGCCTTGAGTTGAGGTGGTGCTGGTCAAATCAAATCGCAATGTTGCCAGTTGTTGGCTGGCGCACGAGCACGGTTCTGCAATGTGATTGGGCGTATTTTTTATACGTCATCAATTGGCAGTTTAAAATTATTTCAAATTAAAGCAATTTTGAGGGCCTATAAAAATTATTCAATGTCATGGAACTATTTTTTTTTGGATAAATATACTGAAAATAGTCTTCTATTTCAGATTTTGGCCTTGAATTGGGTATTTTATTTGTTGTGAAAGAGCCCATTGATTTTTAAAAATCGCGCCCTCGGTGACGTAATTAAAAGTATAATTGATATCAAACATATATTTTAATCTATCTATTTTTTAAGTATTCTAAAATTTTAAAAAGAAAAGGTCATTTTTAATTGCGTAAATCAGGCTGTCAGGCTTATTAGACATAAATTAAAGTATAATAGGTACTTCAAAATTATGTTTTACGAAGTAGTTTATGTCTAAATATGGGGAATATTGCAGGCATCACCAGGAGGTCCTTCATCAGCACCACCAAGCAATAACAGAAGCCCAAGTTAGGCAACACCAACTGCAACAGCAGTTACATAACAACCATCACCAGATTTTACAAGTAAGAAAGCTTTAAATATACCTTCATTATTATTAAGTAATATATTAAGTTATTATCTAAATGTAGTTGTAAATAATCTATTTTAAATTAATGAATTTTAAAATTTCGATTTTTATTAGGATTATTTTTAGATTATTCCGTATATACAGGGTGGTTCGAACTGTATTCCGGAAAATAAGTAAAAAAAATTGTGTAAATGTTTGTCCTAAAATGCTTAGTTTCGGAGATACAGGGTGAAGAAGTTTCACTTTTATTACGATTTTATTTTGGCCTTTGGATGAAAATTGGTGTCTGTGAGTTTTTTGACATTAGAAATTTGATTTTCATGTCAATATGACTCCTATTATTTGTATCGGACGCCAGCTATATGTGTTTTAACTGTTTCGAAGAATAATAACTTTTCGTCTTAAACTTTCGTAACTAACGTACCTGTATAAAACTACTGAGTGAAGAAATTTACATTTTCGTGATTTTTTATATAAGAAATGTCTCTTGGTAAAAATCGCTACGAGCAACCGTTCTCAAAATATTTGGAATGGGAATAGTCAATGCATGTCATTATTGACATATAATAAGCATGTTGAGTAGACAGTTATTTGACTTAAATGATAAATTTGGGATTTGGGAACTTTATTTTTTTAAATTAGTCATAAATTTTTCTTCCAAAAAATGATGAGAAAACAGTTTCTGTTGAACTTTTGACACAAAAAACATTTGAAATTTATGATTTCAGTCTAATAACTATTTAGTCAATATGTTTAATTTATGTCAATGATGACAGGTATTGATAATTTCGGTTCCAAATATCTCGAGAACCATTTATGGAACCATAACCAATTACCAAGATACCTATTTTTACGTAAAGAACGTCTTAAATGTCTATTTTTTTACTCGGTAATTTTATACAGGTCATAGAAGAAGATTATAGAGAAAAGGAGGAAGAAGAACAGAATGGTTCTATACCAGGAAGGTCGTGTACAGATAACGTGTTCTGTTTAAAACAAGTTATAGAAAAAAGATCGGGATGAAACTTGGACACACATACAACATTTGTTGACTTACGGAAAGCGTACGACACTGTCCCAATATCAAGACTATGGAGAGTACTAGAACAATCAACCATACTTATATAACAGCTCTTAAGGAACGCAAAATCAAAAATAAAGGTAGGAAAAGAGCTTACAGAAACATTTATAACCGACAAAGGCTTGCGTCAAGGTTGTTGCATCTCCCCTACTCTCTTTAAAATATACGTTGCTTTAAAAAATTGGAAAAGAAAGATCCGTGGTATGGGCATAGAGATTGACAATGAATGTTTGTTCACACTTCAATTCGCAGACGATCAAATAATAGTCGCCAATGACAAAGATGATATGCAATATATGCTAAGAAAACTTATTGAAGAATACGGAGAATGGGGCTTGACAGTTAACATAGCCAAAACAAAATATCTATGTATAGGCGCACAAGAAGGAAATTTGAACTTGGACAACAGTCACGAAATTATTCAGTGTTAAGAGTATGAGTATACGACAGAGAAATAGAGAAAAGCATCAACGCGAAAAAATAATCGGATGTCTAAATGGAATCTTATGGAGCAAATCAATAACAAAGCGAAGAAAATTCAATATATATGAAACTATGATAAAGAGCAGCCCCCTGTATGGAGCAGAAACATGGAGAATAACTGAGAGATACAAAAAGAGGATAGAGGCCGTAGAAATGGATGCCATTCGAAGATCAATGGGAATTTCAAGACAACAACGAATAAGAAATAATACCATAAAACAACAAATAGGTATAGAAGGTACGATAACACAGGATATAGAGAAAAAGCAGCTGATCTGGTACGGACATGTAGAGGGAATGAAGGATACTAGATGGCCCAAGAAAATAATCAATTGGCAACCAAAGGGCAGAAGGAAACAGGGAAGACCGAAACTGGAATGGCAAAAGCGTACACAAAGCGATGAGTGAAAGAAACCTGTCAACAAAGGATTGTACGAATAGAACAGGCTGGAAATTGGGTATCGGACAACGTAGAAAAACGTTCTAAACCGACTAATATATATATTTTATACAGGTACGGACGAAAAATTACTCTTCAAACCAGTTAAAAATATGTAGGTGACGTCCTCTACAAGTAGGAGTCATATTGACATTTAAATCAAATTTCTCATGTCAAAAAACTCCCAGACAACAATTTTCACCCAAATAGTGACGTTAGGTACTTCAGAAACTATTTGGAAAAAATCGAAATATAAATGAAACTTCTACACCCTGTATGTCTGAAACTTGCCATTTTAGGACATTCATTTATACGAACCTTATTTAACCATTTCTTTCAACTTTTTAATTTGGTCACTCGAAAAAATTTGCTCCTGATATCGACCAATAGCGTTGAAATGAAGTCGATCTTTTTGCAGCAGCACCAGCAACTTACCCAACCAAAAGGCAGGATGCCGAAAAAGAACGATTCCAGACCCAGGGGCCGCATGACCGCCTACGCATTCTTCGTTCAAACGTGCCGCGAGGAGCACAAGAAGAAACACCCCGAAGAGAACGTGGTGTTCGCCGAGTTCTCCAAGAAGTGCGCAGAAAGATGGAAGGTAAGGAAACATGTTTTTTTAAGGTTATATTTTAATGGGACCAGGGTTGGGTAGGTAGAAAATTTTATATTTTCTTCCGTATTTTCTACACGTAGAAAATTGATTTTCTACATTTTTTACATGTTCAAACGTAGAAAATTAGTTTTGTATATTGTAAGCCTTTGTTGAGTTTATATTTATTTCAAATATTTCAATCACAACGATTAGTACAAGAAATAAACTAATAACGATATCTCTAATTGCTATTTATTATTTAACCAATGGGTAGTATATAGTATGCCAAAAAAAGCTTAACTATTCACTTCAGTATTATTTTAAATTGATTTGTACACCGGGAGGATGCTTGGCAGTGACTGTTGTGTAACTTATAATTCACAGGTATATAGTATTTTCCGTCATTTGTTGGATGTCCTCCTTGATTTGTTACACACTATAGTCGAAGTTTACAGATATCTTAAAGTTTTCAGTAGTAAGATCAAAGTTTACAGAATAATTCTATGTAATTCTGCGAACTTTGGTAAGACTAAAACAGAACAACAAAAAATAACTTCTTAACATAATGAAAGTAAGAACTACAAACTACAATAATTATTATTATAAGTACAGAGTTTATGAAACCACAGGCTCTCTATGGGAACATTAAAAAAAAAGGAACAACGTAAACTTTCAAAGAAAAAAATTAGACTTTTCTGTATGGTCTTCAGATTAAACAGAAAAAAATATTATAATAGTCTTCAGATCGATTACTGTCTTTTATCTTCAGGGAGTTAGTACCGTCACAGAATAGAGAGATAGCGTGCGCGGACATATATTACAGTTTTAACACTTCTAAAGTGAAAGAAACGGTTTAAATATACAAAATAAATTTTGTACCTGTTCTCAAATTTTATACGTTTTTTACTCAACTTTTTACTTCACTTTTCTACATACACGTAGAAAATTAATCTTCTACGCGTCGTTACCCAACCCTGGGCCTGAATTTACTGAATATTACTTAACAGTTGTTGTTAAAGTCTCTTTATATAAGCAACTCCGAAAGTTTGAAATATTAGTTTAATCACATTTTAATAAAAAAAAAAAACTATTCGTGAGTTGCTTTTTAGGGGATTTTCGGAAAATGTCGTAAACAAAAGAAAATTGCATAATACTTTTATAAATAACAAGCATCAATAGAGTTGGAAATCGATGATAAAAGTTCAAAATTACTTGCAGTATCTTGCAAGTCTTTCAAAGTATAATATTCTTGTCCATTTTCCCGAATATAATGAATAATAATAAATACCAGCATCCAAGTGACGTCCTACGCCCTTTGATGGTCTAGGGGCTGTGGAACTTGACTTATAAAATTTTGTATGACCATGCTTGTGATATCTGGCACCCGCACAAACAAAATCTTGACAAATAAGCTATTATTAGTGAAAATATGAATAAGTTTGTAAAAATCTGAAAATTTTTGGGCTAAGAAATGTTTGCCCGGTTTTTTTATTATCATAAAATATGAAAAAATTCAAACAAGTTCCAAAATGTCTACTGTTGATTCTACCTTTTAAATGAACTTTGAATCATCAAAAAATATTATTTTAGCCGAGTTATTAAACAATTTGTTCTATCAACAATGATACGCTAATGAAATCTATCATCGGAACGTTAACACTTTTTAGGAAGAAATTCAGGGATCTTCGAGGCGAAATATCTGGAAAACTACTACTTCTACGAAAAAAATAATAATAACCATTTTTATAGGTACCTAATTACCCAAGCTTCATTTTTTATTTCAAGAAAAATTTTATAAATTGCATATTTTGGCAGACATTTGCGAAAAGCTGATTTTTGGGCAATTTGGGGTCATTTTTTGGCAAAAACTGGATGTTGATGTGAATATTTTTCCCTAAAACTACTCTTTAATTTCCTGCATCCCAATTGTACCAACTTATTTCTTTGTAAAATAAAATAAACTACTTTTAAACTAAAATGACACACATCTATCACTGTCAAAAATTTTCCCGTTATGAGATTCCTTCCTAGTGATTATAAGTTGACATCTGAATAGACTAATTACTTCAAATCATTACTCTATACAATCCTCGATAAAAATTATCGAAGTAAAGAACAAAATAAGAAAATCAGTACCCATGTACCACCCCGCAATACGAATATATATCGTTTCTCGTACAAAGATTCCCGCCGTGAGTCTACGGAACAGCCTTGAAAGCTTTTTCGAAACGCATACTTGGAGATCTAAGGTCAAGTTGAGCGTTTTTTTCTTTCGCGTTTCTTAATCGGACACAGAGGAACAGAGAGAACTCGTGGCTGTTTTTGTTCAGATATTTCGCATTACTTGAATTATTACCGAACGAATATATATTTTTTCATTATTTCGTCGCAGTGATTTATAGAGTTTCTGCTTTCTGCTAAGAGACGTAGATTAATCTATTTTACTAGAAGTTTAAGAAAAAATTAGGTACAGTATGTCCTCGGATTGTCTTTGCAAGGGGAAAATAGAACTTGTTTGAATTTTTCATATTTTATAATAATAAAAAAACCGGACAAACATTCCTTAACCCAAAAATTTTCAGATTTTTACAAACTTATTCATATTTGCACTAATAATAGCTTATGTGTCAAGAGTCTCTTTAAGCAACTCAGAAAGTTCAAAGTACTTGTTAAGCACATTTTAATAAAAAACAACTATTCGTGAGTAGCCTTTTCCGTCTTATTAAGTGTCGTTCCGTCTTTAAGTGTCGTAAACAAAAGAAAATTGCATAATAACTTTATAAGTAACAAACATCAATGAGGAGTTGGAAATCAATGATAAAAGTTCAAAATTACCTGCAATATCTTGCAACTCTTCCAGAGTATATTGTTCTTGTCCATTTTCCCGGATGTAATGGACTAGCTTCACCATTTGCTCTGAAATATCAGCACCCAAAAGACGTCCTACTCCCCTTGATGATCTAGGGGCTGTGGAACATGACTTGTAAAATTGTGTATGACATTGCTTGTGATATCTGGCACCCGCACAAAAATTTTTTTGACAAATAAGCTAATAGTTCAGTACGTCTGTCCGTTCTAGTGTTGGGAAAATTCGAATTAAATAATACGACTAATTCGATAGTAAATTAAAACTAACTAATTCGAATTATCTTTTTCGATATAATCGAGATAAAAATTAGTAGTATTTTATATTATATCTGTGGTAACCGAATTACAAATGAACATAAAACATAACCTCTTATGGACGAATACGAATATTAGTAATTAGTATAGTACTATTAGTAGTATTCTTTCGTTTGAAAATTTTCACTTAAACTGATTTATAAAAGGAATCGACAAAGAAAGGAACGATCCGATATAGAAAAATCCAGAAATCATTGTTATTTCCTATACCACGTAGGAATAAATCAGTTTAAGTGAAAATTTTCATTTCGTTCAGAACGAAAGAATACTACTATTATTTGGTTCATTTCCATCTCACCCAAATTTCACCGAACACCTGCCGAACACTAAAATTAATTTTCTTCTTTTATCTAAATAATTATTGATTGCAACTGATAAAATAAAAAGAAATACGAACCGCACGTAAACAGGGACATACTTATATCGTTTTAGAAGAAGCTTTTATTTTAGATATGAGCTTTTCAATAGGAATTGAAACAATCATAAACTCGGCACTTTTAAATTTAAAACTTTAAATTATGGTTTAATTTATTAAAACGGCTTCGGCACAGTTAATAGAATACATTGAATAAAGAATATTTTTTTTATTTTTTATTCAGTGATAGAATATAGGTATGGCAATGGTTCAGAATTTGTTTAAAATAGCCCCTAGACGAGCACTAGCTGGGACGAATTTATTTTTAGGTTAAATTTATAATACTACTAAATAATTCGAATTATTAATTCGATTGTGAAAGATGAATTATTACTAATTATTCGATGGTGAAAATAATTCGATTATTCCCATCACTAGTCCGTTCTGTAGCTACGGGGTATCCGTGAGAGGGGAAACGATATTCTCTCCATGTTTTTCGTAAAAAAATAGACGACGCGTCCCATCAATGAAAATTCGACAAATTTGGAAGTAGCCAATAAAATTAGTGGGCGGAGCGATTTCAAGTCAAGTCGACGTATAAAATATATTGCTGTTTATTTAAATGTTTTTTGTCCGCATTCCTTTCATAGACACAGTTCCAGCAGACGTACTTTACGAGAGCTAGCTACGTCGGAAAAACAAGTATTTTTTGAGACGTCTGGCTCTTTGATATATCTTTTACTATGCTCTCTAGAACAGCAGGCGGCTCGTCTGGCTGCCGGTAAACGTTGCGTTCCCTACTGCGCATTGAAAGAAGATCCTATATTTTTATTAGTCCTTTAAATTCTAGTATTGAATATAAATCGAACATGTCTCCATAGCGCAGTGCGTAGAGTTTCCGACCACAAACCGATGATTCAGATAGTTCGAATCCAGGTCAGGGCAAAGACTTTTTTATTTTATTTTCGTTTATATTCTGATAGTAAAGTATTAAATATTTGCTTTGTTTTTGAATCACCAGAATTATTTATCACAGAATACCAAATCAAAGAGCCAGACGTCTTAAAATACTTTCTCGAAAACGTTGCTAACTCTTGTTACTTTTTAAAATCATGCCTAAAAATTTGGTTAACCAAAAACCAATTCTTCACACCGAATTGTTAAACTTAAGTATCTGCGGTTTAGTTGTTTAAAGAAGCGTAGTTTAATTTTCTGGTTAATTACAATTCCTGTTAGGAGGACCACACAAAAAGCCAAAGGTAATTTGTTTAGGCTTAATAAGAAAGGTACAAAAACGGAACAAATCTTTTGGAAAATGTTTCCAGAAGTATTCGGGATCTCTTCACTTTCAGAATAAGTGATTTTCTGAACAAAAAAGCAAATGCGAAACGTTGTCATAACTCTTCTTATTTCTTATAATTACTAGACTCGAAGATGCGCAACATGATTTTGTGGCACAAAACATGTCTGAGATGTAGCTAGCGTCACCGTCAGCCTGTCCGAGATTTAGTTCAGCTCTGCGCCGCAGCGCGCTGATAGTCGTTTACAGCGCAGCGGATAAAGAATACTGTACCGTAGTTCTGCTTTCAGTCGACAGAGTGAGTGGTTGCCGGAGACAGTGTTGCCAGAACTACTGATTAATCCCTAGATTTACAAATTTTGGGTACAGTACGTTAATAATACGAATTTTCTAACATTAAAAAATTTAATATAATATATGATTAAACAAAGAACGGCGTCAGAGTTGGCTTGGAAATGAAGGTCGCTGTTATTTCTTATGTAAAATATTATAGTAAATGTCAATAATTGTCATTTCCAAGCCAACTAAACGACTTTTTTCGATCATGCGACATTTTCAATATCTATAAAGGAATTTATTTTTGTTGTTTAACGCGAATAAATTTTCAATTCATAAACGCGGATTTTTCATCCAAAGATACTTTCGTCAAACGCATTTCAGATATTACACATTTTAATATGGCAACACTGTCGCTTCTAGATCCACACCGTCTTCGATATGCCTTCGCTGGTCGAATTAGACAAAATAAGTGTTTTATGCATTGACCGCAGAACGAGTGGTGTCTCCACCGTACTGCACTTGAGACGTAAGGGGAAATCAAATCAACCTTGTCACGAATTCGCCCAGTAGGTTGCGTATCTTCCCAATTCTTTCAATCAACGATAATACTGAAGACTTCAGAGTAATAATGTTTTTCTTTTAATGTTCAACTTTAAATATTTCCTAGTTATTTTTTGTTCGTTAAAATTTTGACAGCCGGCACAAAAAATTAAAAGCAATTATCTAGTTCAAGATTAATCGAAAATAAATCATTCTGTATTTCATCTACTTATTCAGCCTATTAAATAAACATTTTAAAAACAAATTTAAAAATGATTAAAACTCTAGAGACGGAAATTAAAAAATTACGAATTCATTCGCTTTTAAAGAGTTCTCTTGTCTTGTTTCTTTTGCCAGGAACAAAAATCTTCGGCTAGAGAGCCAGCTAGCGTATTTACGTCATTAATAATTCATATCGTTACGTTGCTAAAACTCCGGCAGTACCATTATAAAAGCCGATAATGGAGAGAAAAGAATGTTCACCGTTTGTTTCTAATTTGGCCCAAGAGAAATTGGGTTTGGTTCTCTTACAGATAGAAATTTTAAACGCCCGTTACATTGTTAAGATCTTTAATTTCCTCTTTCTTATTGGATATTAATAATAGCCAATCATTATTTTTGTGATGGCATTTTTAAAGCCGTGTCTACACATAGCTTTTAACCTGTCAGTCAAAACGTATCAATTAAAATCTTGTGTGTAGAAATTTTTAAAATTAATTAAGACAGAAGATCATCTAAAGCTAGAGAACTAACGGGATCATTCTGTTTTACAACAAAACCGTCGTTTTGTTTATAAATTAACAAGAAATAATATCGTTGAATAAAAAGATTAAGGAAGGAGCATATCAAAAAACTTAGGTCGAGCGCGATGGGGACCAAAAACGGCCGACCTTAATTCCGGTTTATCAGTGTCGTTCTAATTTTATTCAAAACGTGTCAAAATATGATGTAGGGTAGACTCAATAATTTGTTGTTTTATTTTAAGTTGTCAATAAATGTTAGTAGTTATTAAAATTGTTATAAAAATATGTAAATCTAATAAAAATTCATAAGATATAATTATTTTTTAACACAAAATTCGATACGCTACTGAAATAGGTAATAGGTAATTCAAATTCTCGTATCTAAATTCTTTGACATCTAATCATTGACAAGTAGTAAATAAAAGCAAAAATGCAAGAAAAAAAAATATATAATTAGTTCATTTCAAGTGGCGAAATACCCATATAAGATTTTTTGGAGATATGAAATGTCGTTGAACAAACTATTTTTTTTCAGTTATTACGAACTTTTTGGCATATTCTGTTATTCATTTTTTTTTAATAACTAAAAGGCTGTACTTAAACTGCCGTTAAACGGTAGCCTACTGAAATGCCGTTAATAGGTATGACGTCGTTGATGTGACGCACTTGACGGCTTTTTAATGCTTTGGTTAAAATGCCGTCGAACGGTCGCGTACTAAAATGCCGTTAATCGTTAATGCAGAGTAGGCTACTGATTAATACTTAATAATTTGTAATGTAATGTTGTCCAAAATCCGTCATGGCTTATTCTGAATAAAATTAACTTGGAACGGTGTATATGTAGGTAGACGTATATGTTGCCGTTGTAGGTTTGAAAATGTATTTGCGATAAAATGTAATATATGGCATTGGCTTTCAGGTTTTTATTGCAAATTATAAACTGACAACTTAAAAATAATACTACGTCAACTTAAAAATAATAATGCTACAGATAGCATTCTCTGCAAAACCACAGTTTTGATTTAGGTCGCTTAGTCAATCCTGCACAACGGATATGTCTCCATAGAAGGCATCTACTGCAACAAAGTGACATGATTTTTCTGCGTGTCTTCACTGCACACAGAACAAAACCAACTTTGTTGAAGTCGTTTCTGCTTAACTAGATTGGTTATTTTTTCAAAGGCTTTCGCGGTGCAAAAACTTCTAAAAATCGTAATTTACATTATTAGTTATTAATTTGGTAATTATTAGGTATTGCTAGACTTACCTTATTATGTGGATTTCAACAGCCTCATCAAGAACGGCATGTGATATTTCTTCGGGGAGCACTTTAAGGTCTACAGTTTCAAGAAATTTCCCATATGTGATGTCTCTAACGATGTTACGATCCTTAACGAAGCAATTCAGGATTACATTTTGTTTTTCATGATAGGATTGTTTAGCAAATGCTACAGTACTTCTTTTCTTTTTCTTTGTAGTCCTATGACTGTTAAGTCCTGTCCTTTTGAACGTCCTTTATGAGAAAAACAGGTCATCCTATTTTAAGTAATTTATATGTAGCATCTACTGCAAGAAATTCTGGAAAAGCCTTCATTGTACTTTTCATGGTTGGACTTTGAATGACTTTTCATTCCTCTGAAATTATTGTCTTCGTCTCGCAAAACAGCTACATTGGCACCTGAAAACAGAGTAGTTATTGGGACTAATAAGACGATAATAGAATATTTTAGTTTACCATATTTAGCTTTAGGTATATTTAAGCAGCCATCTAAGTTTTCTTGATTGATCGGATATCTTCATATTTGTTAAATCTTGTAAAGTAACAATTTTACCAGTACTTTCTTGAAGTTTTTGCTGTATCATTTTTCTGTTGGCCTTCATATTCAAATAATCCTTGACACTTTCCTTCATGTTACTGGAAAGTTTTCTTTGGCTAGACGGCGTCATATCTATTAACGGCATTTCAGTAGGCTACCGTTTAACGGCAGTTTAAGTACAGCGTAACTAAAACCACGTATAAAAATTAAAATGTAATCGATTAAGTTATTATTCAGTCCCCAGAGCGATAAAAAGATGAAGAGATTAAAAAGTCAAGTTCTTAAAAAAATCGTCCTTTTTTTTCAGACCATGTCCGATAAGGAAAAGAAGCGTTTCCACGAGATGGCCGAGACTGACAAGAAGCGCTACGACACCGAGATGCAGAGCTACACTCCGCCCAAGGGCGAGAAGCAAAGGGGCAAGAGGAGGAAACAACAGAAGGATCCCAACGCACCCAAAAGATCTTTGTAAGTCTCTAAATTTCGTCATTTTAAGCTTAGTTTCTTTTTTTTCTGAGCTTGTTTTGATGCAAAGAAAAGTTAGCTCTTAAAATTTGCTGCCAATGCTTTTATTATACCATTGGTGAACGTGTTTTTTTTCCATTTTAAAGATATCTTTTGATTACGCCACGCGTATGCCAACTTTTATTAGTTTCTCTATACAAGGTGTTCCAGAAATAAGTGCAAGTATTCTAACTGGTAGTATAGTTCAACCCCAGAAACATGCCTACGAGGTTTTTTTCGCGAAAAAAAAAATTTTGAAAATTCGGAATTTTGAATTTTTTTTTTTAGTTTTTAGTTAAAGAACATAATTTCTTCATAATATGGCAACATAGGTAGTAGATTAAATTTACAAGAAAGAAAATCCAGAAAAGATCCAGTGGTTCTCAAAATTTTAGCAAAAAATACTATTTTTGGAAATTTTCAAAGTAAAACAACTCCGTTATTTTTGACTTATCGAGATCTACCATCCCTTAAAATACTTGCACTTATTTATGGGACACCCTGTATATCGTACTGGCAACTCTTACTTTTGGGTCGATATAAGTGTGGAAGTAAATCGCATAGGGATCTTTAAAAAAAACATCCATTTACTTTTAGTGCATAGCAATTTTCAGCAATCTATATAATAGCAGAAATATTAAGAAAGTTTTTTAAAAAAACTACAGTCAATTATTTCTAATGGATTTCGAGATATCGATTTTTGAATTCAGAGTTCTAATAGCGCGACCACTGTCGAACACCAATTCAATCCACTTATTTTTAACAAAAATGCAAGTGGTCCTAACTTGCACTTAAAAATTTACAAGCTATTGGGAAATTACAACGACTCGTTAATAAATAAACAAATACAGTATCACGAGACGTAATTAAATGGTGAAGCTGAACGCATGATGAATCTAATCATCTCTAGAATTTTAAGTACTGACAGAGGTACGAGGTACTGATTGGGTCGACTGGTCGACCGCAACGAATCTGCTATATCCCCTTCCACGTCTCTTAGCAATGTGCGCAGTCTCTCGGTTTATTTCATACATTTGGCAACGTGTTTACTGTTCTCTCTTTGTTCAGTACATTATAAACTGTACGCTAAAGCTACGTCCACATTGCTTGTGGTCCTGCTCGCGCTCTTGCTTCTGATTATGCTTGCGTTGCTTTCGCTTCCTGTTTGTCGTGTTTCTCAAGATCTTGCGGCTCGCAAGCAACGGCGTCCACATTGTAATGTTGTTCGGATACCGGATACCGAAGTATTTTTAATAGCGGCTGCTAGTGCGATCATTATTGCAAAACGAAAGAGACAAAGAGAAAAAGGGAGGTGTTGGATGTCTAATACTTTCAAAAGTAGATCCCAGCACAGTGAAAGTAAACATTTACGCGGTTTACAAACAGACAGAATGTTTTTTTAATATTTTATTATTATGTCCGCAACTGCTTTTGAAAGACTTATTAACTTAGTTGGCCCCCGTATAGAAAGGAAATATACGACTTTTAGGAAGTGTATTCCTGTTAAAGAAAGAGTTAAATAAAGATTGGCCATAACATTAACATTCTTTGCTCCTAGAGACTCGCATACCAGTTTGGGTTATTTATTCAAAGTTTTCAAGCAAAGCATTTCAAAAATAATACCAGGCGTATGCCAAAATATAAATAAAGTTCTCAAAGATCAGTTTAAGATAAGTAGGCAGTATAAAATAGAGTTATATTTTATTAAAGGTATATTTAATATTACTAATCCAAGAACTAAACACAAATTTGTAATTCTGAACAAAAAAAAAGAAAAATCATAGTAATATCATCATACTGCAGTAAATACCGAATCTTATCAATGAAACCAAATTAAAAATTTAACAAACAACGCAAACAGCTCGAGCGCTTAGAACCGCCGTAAAGTATGCTCGCATGGCCCGAAGCGTCTCTTTGATGTAACGTGACAACAGTCGAAACGCATTTTACGAGATTGCAAGCACGTGGAGCACCGGAGGCGCTGCGACTGTTTGCCATGTTTTTCGTGTTTCACGTGTTCGTTCGGCCTGCTCGCGAGCAATGTGGACGCATCTTAAGACACTAAAATTGTACTCTTTGGTGATTTTCTCTGATGGTTTATTTTATTCTTGTAGGTCTGCTTTCTTCTGGTTCAGCAATGATGAGCGCTCCAAAGTGAAGGCTGCGAATCCTGAATACGGCGTTGGTGACATCGCCAAGGAATTGGGCAGAAGGTGGGCCGAAGCCGACCCTGAGACCAGATCAAAATACGATGTTCTGGCCGACAAAGACAAAATCAGATATGAGAAGGTAAGTTTTATTGTCATAGCGAAAATGTCTTACAACGAAAAAAGAACGCGTCAAGTTGGCTTGAAATGACGATTGATGGCACTATAATTTTACATATAAAATAACAGCAATGTTCACTTACAAGCCAATCGTATGTTTTTTATGCTCTGTATCTATCACTACCATTCAAGTTTTTCTCATATCATGTGTATGAACATATTTTTCACTGGATGTTTTTTTTAAATATATTTTAATTATATTTGCGCAGTTTGATCAGTCATTAACTGATAATACTAAACAGTTCTTGATTATAATACTAGCGCTAAAGAAAATTATGAACAATGTGAAAAACCTCTTAAATGAAAAATATTACTTAATTGGAGAAATTGTTTCAAACAGATTTTTTTTCTAATTGTCACAGGGAGACACACTTGCTTTAGTCTTACTAAAAATTCGAAATAACACGAAATTGCTTTTTTGTTTATTTTTATTACTATTTAAGTAAATATAAATAAAATATTTTGTGCAGTACCTACTAGCTGGTCCAGCAAATGATATTCTTTTAGTTAAATTTTTGTAAATTTGCTTGTGATAATTTTGTTAATTTGTGAAAAGCTATGTATATATAAATATGTGGGTAAATAAAGAAAAAAAAACACTTACGAGTGATAATTATATTTCTATTAACATTTATGGCCATTAATTTTCTTTTTAAGGAAATACATTTATTTTACTAAATAAAATCAATAGCCTTTTCAATAATAGATGTTTTAGATAAATAATGCTCTCTATAAAGTCAGTCATAAATATTATAATAATCTACAGGGTATGTCTTTAAGTTCCTAATGATTTGAGTAATAATGGGTGCAGAAATATGTAGCTTTAAAGTTACTGGGATGTTAAAACTTAAAAAAAAATAGGTTGTAGTTAGCACTGTACATTAGTGTTTTTTATTTCAATAAAAGTTAATAATAAAATTGATTCAATATTTTTTTTCTTTTTATTTCATTATTTTATTAATTGTAATTAATAAAATTGCGTTTATCTCATCAATGAGATCGAAATCGACAAAATATCAAGAGACAACTTTTTATCGGCATTAAATTGCCTATACAATTTTGCTATGAAAAGAAAAAGTCAGTGGCACACATGTTTTTTAATAGAAAAACATTCCAATGACAACCCATATACACGTCTGACATACACAATACATCACAATATCTATAAATTATAGCCTATGTGTTATTCTGATGTATAAGCTATGTTATTGTAAAGTTTCATTAAAATACATTCGGTAGTTTTTGCGTGAAAGAGTAACAAACATTTACACATACAAAATTTTCGCGTTTATAATAGTTTTTGTCCAGATGATGGGTTTTGCAGCGCACGTCAGAAAAGCTCGCAAATGGCAGAATTAACAAGTCTGTGGTGAATCTGTTGACATTTTTTTAATACTTAAAATATGTAACACTTAATAGTAACTTTTACCCTTAATATTTCATTCGAATCGCTTGGAAGAAAATTATAATAAATTGAATAAAAATGAAGACTGTAACTCCAGAATCGGACCTATGTTAATACAAAAAATAAATCTTATTTTTACTGTATTTTAAGGAATCTCCCCACGAGAGATGTCACATGATTTTTGAAACACATTGAAAAAGAAACTTGATGTCTTCATTGTGTATGTTTTAGACTGTTATTAGGTTACTGATGTCATCTTTTTAATTCTTGCAGGAAATGACAGCATACAAAAAGAAGAACAATCCCGCTCTTCAACAGCAAGCCGTACCTGATGACATCGCCGAGGACGATGATGACGTAGATGACGACGAAGACGAGTAAACCACTGTGGCGCGTCTTCACACCCATCTATTCTCATTCCCTCTATTTAACCGGGCCGAAGACCCCCAAATATTCTCACACACGCGCCGGTCCTCGCACCGATCGTCTTTCCGTTTCAAATCTAATCGAATATAACCTCAAAAAAGAGTCTTGGTTTAATCAAATTCCAGTTATTATTAGTATTTATTTTCGAGAAAGACGATAGGTACAAACCACCGGTTTTTGGTCTCTTGGCCCGGGCTTTTTTTGTAAATAGACATTCAGTAGCGGTGTAATTTTTATTTTTTTCTCTTCGTTTTTTAAGATTATTATTGTTTTTTACCTCCCCCAGTCTCAGTGTGTACTTATGACTTGTACGTCGAAAACAGACTGAATTGCGTGCAAGAGATTCAGAAATTTAGAATATCGTTCAATTTTATTTTTCGCCCACCCCCCGTATAGTAGTGTATAGTCGTTTCCGTTCAAAATACTGATCGTCGTCCGTCTCAGACTGTTCTTCTTTATTAATTAAACGAAACGTGAAAAAAAACGTGTGTTATGGGAGCCTTTGAAGTTACGTTCGACGAGTATTTTGTACCATATTATTTGACAAAATTTTATATTAAATTACCTCTTATTGTCATTTCATAGGTTACTGTGACGCCGTTTTTTGTTTTTAAATATTAACTAACGTAATTTAATTTTATAACTTAAATTGTTAGCTGCTGGTTCAGTTACAAAAAAAAAATATTTTTATCCAATTGACTAGATTTTTTAAAAACCGTAATTGACATTTCGATCAGTATATCAGTGTCCAAATAATAGCGAGCGTTCTATATAAACTTACATGAGTTGCGCTCCTTTTATCCTGTACAAAACCTCAATGTCACTTTCCCTTATTTTTTTAATTAACTAATTTAATTTAAAGTAATTTAATCGCCTATAGAGCTACGTTCTCCAATTTCCCGTAATCATTTTGCACACGGTTTTTAACTGATAAAAACAGTTGTTCCCTTTTTTAAGTTCTCTATGTTTTCGTATTTTTCTCGTAAAATTACCAAAAAGAATCGATCCTCCCCTAAACTTCAAGGTCGTCGAATTTAAGAAAAAATGCATGCGTGCGTTTTTTTTTCAAGTCAAAGTACAAAAAAGTGTAGTTTTTTGATATTTTTAGAGAAATATTTTCGATAGCCTTGTTAAAAGTGCTTTTTCAAAGTTTGGGGATTGGTAATTTTCGGTCCGTTCTTATTTTTTTAACTTTTAAGTAAGCATATAATTCAGCATAATTACTATACTTCCCCTATAGGATAAGCAGAGCAGATATTTTTATCATTTTTAGTGTTGTTGAATATTGTTCTGATAAATAAAATGTATAGGATAGGTAGTTGTGTAAGAACAAATGTGACGCGATACAACCCTGAACTTCTACCCTATTGTACATTTTTTTAATAAAAGAAGATGGACAATACTATCAGAACGTTTCATGTTTGAAAATTCTCAAAGATTTTCAAGAATGAGACTTTTGTTTCATGAAAATGCCAGTTTTTACTTAATTTCCTGTTTAATTTTCTCTATAATGTATCATAATAATTGATTTGTCATGTAAGAAAATGTATAAAATATTCAAGTGAAATGTTTTAGTCTAAGTTAATATTGCTTAAGTCAATTTAGTTTAATTGTAATTTAATAATTTTTCGTGATGTGTTCCGTAAAATTTAAGAAATTTTGTCGGTTCAATGAGATTGACGGAAAAGGAACATTTCACTTCAATAGCCCTTGCTCTGTTTTATTGTAGGGCCAGATGATAGGAAGCAATGTTTGTTTTTATAATGTCTAGGGAAAAATGAAATATAATAAAATTTTCAACAAAATTCAGTGTTTTATTTGCCCTAAAAAATATAAAAATGTAGAAAATAGCAATAAATAACTATAGTTAAACTTCTTTAAACTGAGGTTCCTTAAAATTAAACGTTTCTAAGAAGATAATTGATTTGGTCAGAATCTATATGGCCAAATAAACTTTGCAAATCACTAGTTGCTCCTTTTTAATAATAAGTTTATTTTTATAGAAAAAGAGAAAATGTCTAACCTGATATTTAATTATAATGATTTCCTGGTAATACCGATTTCCTTTTTATCTTTTCTAATGTTTATGCCTCTTCATAATTTTCTTTTTTTTTCTGAAAAAAATTACACCCAAGTCACTAGATAATTACATTTTAATCAAAATTTTAACAGTTTGCAGCGCCCTTTTTCTCCAAGTGGATCTTTTTAGAACTAAAACTAATTTACAGTTTTCTACAACAGTTTAATTGCAGTGACATCTGTGAAGCAATAGGTTAATTATTAAATGGAAGAAATCTGTGGAAAAATATAAGTGGCACCATCTCACGGAGTTTTCTTGAACTAAAAAAATATATTTTACAGTTTTCTTTAACAAGACAACTGCAGTGACATCTATCCGAGAGTAGTAGGTTCTTTGGCTAGTTAAGAAAGATCTCTGTAACTTCTGTTACAGAAAACTTTATCTTTTTCGCTTAGCCATTGGCCGCTAGATGGCACTGTTTCCCTTTTAGTACTTTTACTTCCCGCTAAAATATTTTTGGCGCTAAAGTCAACTAGCCACGGTTGAAAATAATTTAAAAATTTTAAATTTTTAAGAAAAAAAATGGGCATAGTTGAAACTATTCTAGTATAATTATAAACTAAATCAATCAGGTTTTCGAATTATACAATAAATGTGTTTTATAAATGAATTATTGAAGCTTTTTCTTTTATTCGAAATTCGGGAATTCAAATCCTACTGACATCCTAACAACAGTTGACAACTTGACATTCGTTCGTTTTTTGGGGTTAGATTTTAATTCTATGGTCAAATTTTCTAAAAATAACTGAGATATTTTAGTAGTATTCCGTAATTTTTAAATGGATTCCAATATTTTAGGACCTGAATGGTAAGTAACAATATTATGTAAATAAATCATTCCAATAATACGGTATTTAAGGAACCTGTCACCCGATGGTATAAATTTAGTTAGCGAAAATGGTACTTTAAAAGACAAAAAGAAGTTACTTGAAAATGCCTTAAATGTAAGTATTCACAGTTTTGTATGTTGTTTTGTTATCAACTGTGTATCTTTTTAGTTAGATCTCAAATCCATAGGAAAACCTGTATTAGCAAGTGTCCTGTCCAAATCGCGTATTGAAAAAGTACAAAAATCTATATAATACTTAAACAATTGATATTTCATTATCGTACTTTTCAGATAGTTCTTCAAATCCAAAAAATTCGCAATGTCTCAGCACCCAAAGCTAAAGAGAACTCCCAGCTTGCACCTCGGATGTTGAAGCTAACTTTAACAGATGGAGAATCGTATGTACAAGCCATAGAAATATCTGTAATTAATTCTATAAGTAGAGAAAACACAGCCCCAGGAACGAAAATCCTTATAATCGATGCCAATCTAGTTTCAGGATATTTATTAATAAATTCTCAAAACTGCAAAGTTTTAGGTGGTAGAGTAGAACATCTGTATGAGAAATGGCTGCTAGCGAAAAGTGTACAACAAAATCATCAATATGGTGAGTACTACACAGAAACTAAGTTTTATTTTTAAATTTTGTTTATACAGGTTGACCCAGTTTTTGAAAAATCTCCTTTATTAAGTTTCTGTTTGAAATTTTCACTACAATCTTGGTTTGTTAGAGATATACGCAATAGAAGAGTACATATTATAGGAAAGACTTCAAATACAAATTGTCAATATTCAAATACTAAAATAGAATTAAATATTATTCATTCTTAAATAGTGTCAAGTGATGGCGCACCTCCATGGGTTGCTTTCGGTTGTAAAATATCAACTGGTAACGAAGATAAAACCTTTAAGTCCTTGGATAAAAGCAAAGATCCCAATAGCAATAGTGAATTCGAGCAACAGCGCAAAGATGCCATTGCAGAAGCTTCAACAGGTGCTATAAAAAAGACGTTTGGTGGCAGAGTAAAGCAAAATGTTCAGGCAACACAAAATACTCAACAGCAATATAGAGGTAAGCATTGTCTATGTTTTAAAAAACGTCTAAGGAATACAAAGACCAATAACACCAAGAACCAAATTGTTATGTGTTGACACCAAAGCTATTCAGCTAGTACTGTGCCAGAGGGTTATTACTGTAGTCTTTAGTCATTGTTCTATTCTTTAGTTATTGGTTTTAAGAAATATTAATTAATTTTTTAGGCAAAGGTAGACCTGATAGGCCAGAACAGCCTGATAGAGGCAGAAAAGGGAAATTTGCTCAAAAAGAAGAGGACGGAGGTTTTGAAAAGTTCCAAAAACCATCGGAAAAAATATCATTATTTTCATTTCTTGAAGATAAACTGCCAATAACCGAAACTAAAAAAGACACATACACCAAACCTGTCTTTAACCAAGAAACTAAAAGTAAACCTTACTCAGAGAGAAGCACTAATCAAAACTACAATAATAACCAACCTTATAAAAAATACGAACACGGAAAACCTGAACAAAGTAATAATAGTTTTAATTATAATCGAGGTGACAGTTCTTATAATAATCGAACAACCGGAAATAGGCCAGATTCATATCAAGGAAACAGACCTAGAAATGACAGGAGTCAATTACAGCCACCGGTGCAAAACAGAGTACAAAACCAAGGTTCCTATAGTGCAAATTCAACAACTAGTCGACAGCAGTATTACGATAATCAAAAACCAACTCAAAATGTTAGTCAGAACTCTGCCAATGTTCAAAATAATGTAGATATGCATAATTTGGCAGCAAATTTGTCGAAAATGTCGGTTAATAATGAGTTTGCCAGTCGGAGTTTGAAGCAACACCTGAATTTGGCAGGTCCTGTCAAAAAACAGGAAGCGAATGCTGTACCGAATGGACCTAGTAATGATTTGAGGATAGGTGACAGGTGTATGGCGAGATATTGGGAAGACGGAAAAGTAAGTTATTGGGTTTATATTTTTTTTTCTTTAGATTTTCTATTTTATTTATTAATTTTCCTATTTGAATCTTTTACTGCAAAATTACCTAATCATACAGAAGCGACAGGGGTTATGAATTAAATTTGACGTGAGTTTATTTAAGCGGATATACAGGGTGTTTTTGAAAAGTGACTAACCCCTATAACTTTAATTTTTCAGATAAATAAACGAAATTTGGTATGTTAATATATGACATAAATCGGGATTGATTGACGTATTCAATTACTTTCGGTCACTTCCTGTTTCTCCGGAAATGATAATTTTTTTTTTAAATGGCACCCACGGTAATTTTTTTTCTTTATATGCTAGGAAGTGAAATTCTGAATTGAATGACATATCATATGTCAACAATGACATATCATATGTCAACTTTTGTAATACTCAATTAAAAAAAATAACATTTTAAATTTCAATACAGAGTGCCATGGATGTATTGTTAAAACCATTCATTTTTAATCAAGGAGCTTTGGAAAAACAAATTTGATTATCTAATATTTTTTTCTGGACAGTTAAAAGATGCCCAAATCGTATTTTTAATCATAATTCAATTTTTTCAAATGGAACGAGGGTGGCTCATTAGCATATTTGGAAAACGTCTTTTTTTACAAATAATTTGGTACCACATACTTGGTATTTCGAGTCAAATTGTCGTTACATTATCGCCATGGCACTCTAGATTGAAATTTAAAATGCATTTTTTTTTCATTGAAAATGTCAAACGTTGACATACCGTGCTGGCAACTGTTACTTTTGGGTCGGCATTTTCATGTGTGGAAGTAAATCACATAGGGATCTTATTAAGTCGGAGTGAGAGAAATGCGACCGACCGACGGTGTGATGTTGCGGCGTTGCCGATACGCCTTTCCCTATCAAGTAAAGTAAAATCACGATCGCAAACCGTTTATTTTTAAAAGACTTTTTTTCAAGAGATAACTAGATAAAATCATTAGACATGTTTCTGAGCATCTGAAATGGAATTATAAGGATATCGTTAGGGTGTCATTTTTTATAACGAGAAAACGTCAGTAATCGCGATCATTTAAAAATTCAATTTTTTACACATAACAGGCCATAACTCAAGAACCACTTTAGACATTGAAACTTTTTTTTATTTTCAAGATCGGATATTTTACAATATGTTTACTTAAGAAAAATTCGATAAGGTTGTTTTTTCTATTCAAAAATTGTAAACAATCCATCCATTTACTTTTAGAGCATAGCAATTTTCAGCAATCGTGTAATTTTTTTATTGATAAAGATTTTCACATACGGTCTACAAAGAAAATACAGCGGAAATATTAACGAAGTTCTTGGAAAAACTACAATCTATTATTTCTAATAGATTTCGAGATATCGATTTTTGAATTCCGAGTTCTAATAGCGCGACCACTATCGAACACCCACTCAATTCTACTTATTTTTACCAAAAATGCAAGTGTTTCTAGCTTGCACTTAAAAAAATTCAAGCTATAGGGAAAATTACAACGATTCGTTAATAAACAAATTAAGTATCACGAGACGTAATTAAATGGTGAAGCTGAACGCATGACGTACACCTTTCCCTAGAACTTTAAGCACTGACAGAGGTATTAATTGTGTCGACCGGTCAACTGCGACAAATCTGCTATATCCCCTTCCACGTCTCTTAGCGATGTGCACCGTTTCTCGGTTTATTTCATATGTTTGGCAACGTGTTTACTGTCCTCTCTTTGTTCAGTACATTATAAATGCATTGTACTCTTCTTACATACGGAAATCTCGACCCAAGACTAACCTTTGCCCTTAGTATAATATGTCATTCTATACAAAAATACTGGTATCAGAATGTGTTCTAACTAATTTCCAAAAACCCACAAATAATTTTGGTTAAAAAAAAACAGTATTCCTAGTTATACACTCCTTGATATAAAGTTTATTTATTTATAAGTTTAAAAATTTGGTCAAGTGCGAGTCGGACTCGCGCACGAAGGGTTCCGTACCATTCATTTAGCTGAAATTTTGAATGCGCGTATAAGTAATTAAAAAAAATGAAGAAACACATTACTAAAAATTGTATTAATCAATAATAAATATGTAAAAAGTAAAAATAAATATGTAAAAATTAAAAAAAACGATTAAAAAAAAAGTCGCCTTGACTAGGATTCGAACCTGCCTTACTACGGCTCCAACGTCATAGCAGCGTGAAGTCCTAACGCTGTAACCACGCGGCCACCGAGGACTTGAAAGATTCTATGTAAAATTGTTACTTAAAAGATAAGGTTAATGAAAGTACACTTTTTTATTTGTAAACATTTATTTAATTCTGTTTTTAGTATTTGTTCTTATAGCGGCAACATAGATACATTATCTGTAAAAATTTCAACTGTCTAGCTATAACGGTTTATAAGATAGACCTTTGCGACAGACGGACGGACAGCGAAGTCTTAGTATTAGGGTTCCCGTTTTTACCCTTTGGGTACGGAACCCTAAAAACAAACATTTTCACACTGCAGTTTTTAAGCAAATTTTACTAAATAGTAGTAAACTTCGTCTTCAGTGACATCTGCTAGAAGTACATATACTGACAAGAATAATAAAATCATGTTGTTTTTAGTAATTGTATTTTTTTAGTTGTACAATGCAATAATAACAGCTGTAACGGAAAAAACTTACGCTGTACAGTTCACTGGTTATGGAAACATCGAAGAAGTGTTAAAACACGATTGTTTCAGTCCATTTGACGGAAAAAATCAACAGTTTAGAGGTCAAAATAGTTCTACAAATAATTTCTCAGGTAAATATTTTCATATAATACATGATAGAAAAAAATAGCATCATAGTGACCTTAGAAATGACGATGATAATTGTTTCTATGCCGTATACCGATCTGGTCATCAAAACTGCATGGTCTGATTTTTAACGTGTAAGACAGTGATGTAGACAGCTTAATGGAAAATCAAATGTATTAAAAAGAGATAAAAGTTGGGTTTATACATTTCCTCTATGCGGTATTGCCGGATTTTGCATCAAAATTTCAAATCGCACAAGTAGGTGTTTATAAAAAATGTTGCATCTAGGGTTGTGACTTTATTTTTCATAATTAGTTACTCATTTGACTATAGCTGTAATAGATTATATTTAGCTTAGATTATAGTATACATGAAATTTTTATTTTTTTCAACCCACATTTTCCTACACATGTAAAAACCGGCAACACTGTATACGGCTTTTTATTTTGTTTCTGTCTGTGAACCGGTCATTTATATTTATCTCTATCGCATGCATTAAAATACAGACCACGCAGGTGAAGTGTCCAGGATGGTATAATTTTCAACCTGTTTGAAATTGTCCTTGGTTCTTTAAAGAGTCGTTAGCTACATGACGTCTTTATGAAAAAACAAGGCATTATTTACTCATATTTATTAATAATAATTTTTTAATATAATTTTTTTGGATTTATTTATTAAAAAAAACATATTTTTAGGAATGCCTACTGAATTTAGACGACGAGGCCCGCCAAGAAAATAACGAATAGCAATAAGACAAAGCTTTATTTTTCTGTTAACACTATTTATTATCAATTATAACATTTTACAAACTATTTAATTTATGTTTCTCAACTTTTTTTGTAACAAGACAATATAAAAATATATTATTTACCAAATAAATACGATTGTTTCATTTAAAACTACATAAAAACATTTAAATTAAAGCTAGATAATTGAAATTAAGATAGACTCATCAAATATCAAGCGCGGTATCAAAACTCTCTTTCTTTCATTTGTACATATACAGTGTACCAAAAATCAATTAATTTTATGTTCGACCATTTTATGGTATACCAGTACACTTCTATGAGTACACTGTATGTAGGTCAAAATCAATAAAAATATAAAACACATGGGAATGATTATTTGGAATTCTCCTGATAAACGCATTCTCCAGCTATCCACGTAGATACTATATCTAAATTTTCAGATAACATTACAAAATCTGCATCGGCACCGTAATTTAATGTTCCTTTTTTATCGTCAATACCCAAGACTTGAGCTGGATGAAGACTCGCTGCTTCCAAAGCGTACTCCATGGAACAATCTGTACAAATAAATATCTATATTGTTGCGGACACGTGTGGACTCTAACCTAACCGGATTAATATGCCCCGGCCCCATTCGAGAACGATTAGAATAATCTGGAGAGACAGAGAATGGCGCGGCGGCTAGACGCAAATAGAAAATACTAGTAAAATCTAGACTGTCTGTTTCTCTCATACATAAACCGACGCCTGGGGCCTGAGGAGGACAGAAACAAACAGATCGTCGATCGCACAATTGCCGCGCTAAATTAAAAATAAATTCCTTTTAGATAAATAGTAAATAAGTTGTAATTAGTTCTTTAAGTAGTTTCATCGTTATTGTTTTGTTACTTAGTGTAAAATAAATTGTGTTTAAAGAAATTAGACTTTCTATCCACACGGAACCGACGTTAAACGTAACAATATTGTAGCTTATGTTCATTTACAAAAAATGGGAAATTGAGCAGTGTGTAATGGAAAATAAACAGTACGACAGTTTCCACACGGTTACCCGTCCATGCTTTCGCATTGTCTAACGTCGCTTAACTTTGGTATTCTATCGGAAACCGGTGCTTCAACATAGCTGGGCCGTTTCTCCAGAAATTCAAATAATTTTAATTAGAATTTACCTGTTGCTTTCATAAAATTCTTCACGCAATCTATCATGGAGGCGATACTGCCACAAAGAGTATTAGTTCCAGCAACAAAGGCTTTATTGTCCCGAATTTCCACGTCTAATTGGCCAATTTTATGTTCACCCTCATTCAGTCCAAAAGCAGATATTGCATCAGTTACTATTATCAGACCTAAAATTATTATTGGAAACTTTATATTATGACTAAAACTATGTAACTCTAATTGGGATTATATTTTTAATCAATTGAAAGTAGCTTTACAAATTTCATTTTTTTCGGTCATATTCTTTGTTTTTTCTTATTTTTGTAAAAGTGTTTATTTGTAACTATCTAATGTACCTAACATCTATTAATTATCAATCAAAAATGCCTAGTACCTAGACCTACTGAAAATCACGATCTCGAAAATAACGTAACGACTGTAACGGGAACATCAACGCCAACAGGGATCGACCTAAGCGCGACAGATGAAAACTCGACCCTACGAGCGCTCCAGCAGTCGCGCGACCACTATCACTGGAGCGAGATACGTCGCGGTATAGGTCGTTACCAGTTACATCTCTTCGCGACAGACAAAACCACGACTCTCGGAGCGCGAAGACTGGAGCGAACACGTCGCGGTCGCGATCGCGCGACGCTATGTACTTACCAGTTCCAGTTACTACTGTTCGCGACCGACGAAATCGCGACCTTAGGAGCGCGACGGCTGGAGCGACACACGTCGCTATGCGGTTACTGCGGTTCGAGCTAACTCCAAGAGCGATCACAAATAATTTATTTGCAAATTATAAACAATTTATATTTTCGTCGTTATTATGATCGACGTTCTTCAGTAACAGGTTCCTGATTCGTTGTGGAGCGCGACACGACGTTACAAAAAAATACCGCTTCAAAATCGCGTTACTCAAATACCGACACATCAATAGTTTATAGTAGTAATGTGCCGGTATTTGAGTAACGCGATTTTGGAGCGGTATTTTTTTGTAACGTCGTGTCGCGCTCCGCAACGAATCAGGAACCTGTTACTGAAGAACGACGACCATAATGACGACAAAATTATAAATTATTTATAATTTGCAAATAAATTATTTATAATCGCTCTTGAAGTTAGCTGGAACCGTAGTAACCGCATAGCGACGTGTTTAGCTCCAACCGTCGCCATTTCGTCGGTCGCCAACAGTAGTAACTGGCACTGGTATGTACGTAGCGTCGCGCGTGTTCGCTCCAGCCGTCGCGCTTATAGAACTGTAGTTCCGCCTGTCGCGAACAGAAGTAACTGGTAACTGCCGTAACTGATTATCGACGCTCGACCTCGGCGGCGACGTAACTTCGCTCCAGCTGTAGCGCTCCTAGAGCCGTAGTTCCGTCTGTCGCGAACAGAAGTAATTGGTCACTGTTGTAACTAACTATTGACGCTCGAACTCGTTCCAGCAGTCGCTGGAGCGCTTCTAGGGTTCCGGTTTTGCCTGTCGCGATTTGGTCGGTTACTACTGGCGTTGGTGCTCCCGTCGCTACGTTACTTTCGAAATAGCGATTTTTGGTATGTACTAGGCATGGTGTAAAATTTAAATGGTGTAAAATGCATGGTGTAAAATTAAAATGTTTTATTGTTTATATCTATTTCTAAGGTTAGGTTAGGCCAATAAACAATTTTTTTTGACAGTGTTGGACTTTGTTCTTGATTTTAACATTAAATATATTATATTGCATTACACATAAATATGAACCGTTGATTTTATTTAAACGAAAATTGATGGAAAATAACAAGGAATGTCATCGTTTTTCCAAAAATGAGATAGATTGGCTATACACAATTATAAACTTGATATTTGGAAAATGAGTGGCGGATAAAAGTTACATTAATCTACAAATAGAAAAAGTTACATTAATCTACAAAAAGTTAGATATATTTTTAGCGAGTACCGCGACACTTTGAAAGTCGGAACCTCGGTTACAAAATCGCGGTATTTTTCTGGAACGGTCGCTATTTTAACGCGACTCGTGTGGAACCGGTATTCCCATCACTAGTTTATAGTGCTTCGAGAGAATGCAATGTTGCCACCTCCTACGTTATCAACATCGTTCGCGAATGTTTACGAACGTTCCCTTGTTACAAATGGGAACGTCCTCTGTATTACAGCATTTATGTTAGAGATATACTTAATGAAATTACCTTGTATTTTCTAACATTGATAATTACCTTTTGGGTGCACCCTGTATGCTATCCTTAAAGCTGCCGGGTGTGTATGAATACCGTCGGATATAATACCAAAAAAAATGTTTCTCTCTTCCGATATTTTATCTGAAGCAAGCAAACCTACTAAACCAGGATCTCTGTGATGAAACTAAAATTATGGCTCATATACACAAGCTTTATATATTTCATAGATTATTATATTAATTTAAAAACAAAAAAAAAAGAACAAAAAACGTCCCAAAAATATTTTTTTTAAATTTGTTGGAGTTTATACATGAAAGCTACAAACTCTAATAACTATAATTTAACTTACTGGCAACATTGCATTAAAAAGGTGTGTCATTAAATTTGCTCCATCTTCTACAGCGGACTCTCCTGTTAATAAATCAGCAGTAGAATGTCCTGGAACAGAATCATTGATTGTTGCATAATATGTACCTATTTATATTTTAAAAGAAACGACATACTCTTTTATAATTTGAGAATAATGCATTATCTACATACAGTTCATACCAAATATACTTTTAGTCACGTGATTAAGCTTGACCGGCACAGTGTTGCCCACCTTTATATATATTCTTTTAACCAAAATATTTTAGGAAAAAAAATAAATAAATTATAAATATATAAACAGTTATTATTTACATCAACAAAACTCACCTCCTTAACAACACTTAAGGAACATAATTACTACCGCTTTCCCGTTCAAAATATTCTAATAAAGTTGCGATGAGTAGTTTTACGGCTATTAAGCTATCGTGTACTCTTCGCACTAAGAGAGGTTCTAAAAATAACAATGTTCGATTGCAAGGTCTGCTAGTGAACATTTTCAAGCTTAAAGTATGACAACACTATTTATTTAAACCGAAAACCCATAATACAAAACTATAATAGTGTAACGTTTTTAGTTCGTTACATGTATTTTTTATATATGATATATATGATGTCTGGCGTATCGTCACCGGATTCCCTATCGATCAGGCCCGATAATTTATTTGACGCGCTTGGCGTAATTTTTACGTTCTCTAGTCCACAACCCTGTTATCGCTCTGTGGAGGCGCTGTCAACATCGCTTCGGTTAACTCTCTGTGCTGTGGACTCACTTTGGCTTTTAGCGCTCTGTAGCCTAACCTAACCATCCCGGCTTTTAGAAATGGTGATTATTATCTTGCTGTATAATTTGAATCAGCTGCTATTTCAAAGCAACAGGGTAGAGTTTTGGATGTCCCAACTTAACTTGTATTTGTATTTTGCTGGCACGTTGGCGTCCCGTTTCTTTTGTCCTCCAGAATGTTACACGGAAGAAAGGACAGTTTCTTTGTTTATTATTGAGCCCTCGGAAGTAATTCGAGGGTCCAAGGTACGGACTATTTACAAGGTACGGGCATTATCCAAGGTCCTAGTAGTATCCAAGGTACGGGTAGTGTTCCCCTGTACCGTTGTCTTATGGACGGACTGTGTCCAAGGTACGGGTAGTGTTCCCCTGTACCGTTATCTTATGGACGTACGTTATCTTATGGACGTACATTATCTTATGGACGGACTATTTACAAGGTACGGGCATTATCCAAGGTCCTAGTAGTATCCAAGGTACGGGTAGTGTTCCCCTGTACCGTTGTCTTATGGACGGACTGTGTCCAAGGTACGGGTAGTGTTCCCCTGTACCATTATCTTATGGACGTACGTTATCTTATGGACGTACATTATCTTATGGACGGACTATTTACAAGGTACGGGCATTATCCAAGGTCCTAATAGTATCCAAGGTACGGGTAGTGTTCCCCTGTACCGTTTTCTTATGAACGGACTGTGTCCAAGGTACAGGCATTATCCAAGGTCCTAGTAGTATTCCAAAGTACGGGTAGTGTTCCCTTGTACCATTATCTTATGGACGGATGTCCCGTGGACGAGTGTCCCCAGTAGGAGTGATTTATCTTACATATAAAGTGCCCCAGCGTGGGTGTAGCTTGAGCCCCATGCTGCTTCGTTCCCATCTATAAGCCAGTTAGTAGTTACGGCTGTATCAATTCATGGTGTCCTCATTCTGGCCCCTTTTGTTGTATTAGATGGCCGAGTGCAGAGATGCGAGACCACCTCACGCTACTACTGTTTGAAGCAAGATTACATAAAGAACAGCTAAGTGTAGATTTACGTTCTAGTTTTTATGTTTTAGATTTTCTATATTTTCAGTCTTAAACAATAACGTACATCTTAAGTAATATCGTACGGACTCTGTTTAGTGGTTAGATTGTTAAGAACATATTTAATATTATTTACATACATAGCTTTACTCGACATATAACCACCTATAATAATTATTAAAATTGTACAATGCTATTTACCATCAGAATACATCATGAATGAATATAGTCACTAGTGTTAAGTAATATACAACTGTGTTTTCTTTCTCTGTATATGCCTGGCGCCCAATATCTATATTTTTTTGTTTATTGTTATTGATTAGTTTTCTCTCTAGTGAAATACCTTATCCACGACTGCTCTCCGATGAAAAGCTGCCGTTCGCAGTGGTAATGTTTATAAAAAAACGCTACAATAGCATCAAAATGAATGACACTGTCAGATGAATGTCAGGAAATAAATAAATAAATGTGGCAACTTGACATTTTTTACAGCAGAGCTACGACCTGAGTCCCCAGCGGGAAATTTAAATTCCAGTTAGTCAGCCCGTCGCCGAATAATTCCATGGTTGGCAACAATGAATTTAAAAATCGCGCCCTTGATTACGTAACTAAAAGTTTAATTGGGTATCAAATTATACATATAATTAAAAAATTAAACAAATACAGGGCGTTCTATTGAAAATAAGCAAATTGTGCACCTATAAATAATAAAGGTAACTTAAAACAATTTGTACCTAAATTAGATCTTCAAAAATCTTTTAATGAAAAACCCTGTATACTCGCTCTTATACCTCCTTAAATAAAAAATTCTTTGTTCATATTGTATAAATACAGAATCCTGTTTTATTGTATTGATTTAGTGATATTTAAAAACATTATTATATTATTTTAAGTCCTACAATTTACTTTTTTGCATTGTCACTTACCTAGAGACACAGTAATATTCCTTTTCCTTAACTCCCTAATAACACTCGATGAATTTTTATATTCCGGAGCCAGTGTAATTATTTTAATATTCTCTAAACTACCATACACTTCTTCTAATACTGATATACCCTAAAAAATCATTTAAAATTAATTTTAATAAACTAAATAGGCAGATCTATCCATACATCATCATAATCTCGAATACAATATTCAGGGTGAGCCCCTTTCTTGTCTTTGCTAATAAAAGGACCCTCGACGTGAGCTCCTAAAATTGTAGCCCCCTCAGGACCCCCTTTCCTGTAAGAAAGCCTGGGCAGAACCTCATGATATATTTCTACAGGGGATGTTACTAGGGTTGGACAATAAGATGTAACTCCATGTTGAAGGATTTTTTTCGATACCATATCGATTCCTTCTTGGGAATTGTCTTTAAATGCGAAATCGAATCCATATCCCCCTAAAGTAGATAAAAATACTTATATAACTGCTTCGAAACAGCGAATTTTGTTTGTAGTTACCGTTAATTTGTAGTTCGATAAAGCCAGGTGCAATAATGTTGCCTTCACAGTCGATTTTATAATCGGATGATACTTTCTCGTCATAAAATACTTTTTCGGGGTCAATGATTTTTCCATTTCGAACCCAAATGTCCTCCTGTATTATTTTGTGGTCCCTTAGTATTTTACAATTTATGAATTGCTGGATTTTATTATCGTCTTTTGCCATATTTTTTGATGGTAATCTATTAGGGACTGATTACTGATAAGTTTCCTAAACTAAAATAAAAATACCTGTTGAGGAATTGTTCATATTTTAACAACTATTGCAATCTATGATTGCAATAAACAAAACCACAGAACTTGTTATTCGAGGTTATGAAAGAATTTCAAAATTTCAAGCCATAACAACAGGTAGGTAAACGGGTAAGCGCAAAAAAATAATCCAAGACAATAAATAAAATATCCATTTCTTTTTAACTGTTGCTTAAAACAATATAAAGAACAAGAGTATATTTTTAATTTTGTTCGTTTTAAATCATTTTTAGGTCAAATTATGCAAGGACGATTAGGTAAAGAAAAATTAAATTCTCATTCAAATAAAAATGGTACAAATTTTATAATTAGATAATTATTTCAATTACACAAAAATATTTCTGGGTAGGTATGTAATTATTTATTATTTCAGTAAATTGATTTTACTTGCCTTGGTAGAACAATGCGTTGTAACTACAAATACACTACAAATAAAACTGAGACAAAATGTTATAAAAATCTTTTTCAAATCTATTTGTATATAAACATATTTCATTATTGTTCTTTTCATTCAATATCTTATCTAAAATTTTAGATTAATGAGTGGTTTATTGACCTAGATTTCAGATATTGTCACCGCCATCAAAAATAAAAACCAGATAGTTATTTTAGTAAATAATATTGGTTACAACCCATGTTACAACCATCCAAATATTTAATAAACACTAGTAAAGATTATTGTCAATATTTTATTTGTTTTTTTGTTAAGTTAATAAATTAAAAATATAGAAAGATTTGTGTTAAAAATTTGAACATAATTTGAACTTAGACCACAACGTTGTATTACTAGTTGCATAACCAGGACATTTTTTTAGCGCCATCTATGTTTTCAAATCAAAATTTGTGCTTTCAAGTTTTAAATATACAGCGCATTCGAGAAATAATAGCATGCATTTCAAAAATATTGTCAGAGATGTACAGGGCGTAGTATAAAATAAACAATAAACTATTATTAAATACTACAGGGTAGGAAACAACAACCTACAGGGTTTTTTATACAAAAAAACAACTAGTGTACTGTGTGTTTATACATTTATTATTTAATAAACTTCAAATACATATAAATTTGATTATGATGGCATTGAAGATTGTGTATTCGGAAATAATAAATATTTATAATCAACCGTGCTATGCTTAAAAAAAGGTATGAATGAAAAATAAATAATAAGTAGATTTTTCCTTAAAATTACCACACTCAACATTTTATTTTAAATAAAATTTTTCACGATCAAAGTATAACAATAACAATAAAAGTGATTAAATGTATTTTTTGATTTTTCTCCATAAAAATAAAAGGAAAGTCACTTAAGAAAAAAAAGTTAAAAAATATATTTTCTTACTCCTAGAACTTAGAGATATCTAAAAAATATATTTAAAGCTGCACACTTTACAAGATCTAAAAGTATATAAAAATAAAATCATTTTATTTACACATCTATTCGAGAACATTATTTTTAAAAATTTGTGTTTTTTTATTTATATCAATATATTTGGTTGTTTCATTTATATTAATTTTCAGAAAATATTTGTATCAGATTATAACATTGATATAAACAAAAAAAAGCCCTTAAACTTACAAAATAAAAATAATAAAGCTTTGACAACGCGGTTAAGTAATAAAAAAATATGTAAAAAAACTAAAACGGATCTTAAAATATCGTTTAATATCTAAAATGTCCTTTTTTTGATTTGCTGTTGTGGTACACCCTTAAGGGAGTATAAGAACCATTACTTCCATTCATACCTGTAAATAAGAAAATATATGTTAAACTAGCTGACTCGGCAAACGTTGTTTTGACATCCCTATTCAAAAATGGGAATTGATTAGACGGGTAGACGGGTGAAAATTTAGGGTTGCGTGGATTTTTTTAAGAAAGCCACATTATAAAAAAAATAAAAATAAAAAAATTTGTCCAAATAAAAAAATTGGGGTGGACCACCCTTATCACTTTACCAACCTATTCTCAGACCTACTGAATATACAGGGTGGTTCGAACTGTATTCCGGAAACTTCGGCGGCATATTCTGCAGATAAAAATAAGTAAAAAAGTTCGTATAAATGTATGTCCGACCAAACCACCCTGTACAGGGTGGCTCGAATTCGACGCTCGTCCTTGGGATTTAGGAAACCGTAAGAGATACAGGATCGGTTAAATGGAGTCGCAATTTGATGCTCAATAAAATGCCGTATTGCATTTTTATTTTTTATTTTTTTTGCATAAAATATTCAGGTAATGGAATTTTCTGCACGAAACGTCGCCAAATATCAAAGTGACTATATAATATAGTGTTTTAAGAGTGATGAAAGGATTTAATTAAATTGAAAAAAAATCAGGTCCGTATTTAAAAAAAATTAAGTTGATGGTCGCCAGAAGCCGAAACGTCAGAGTCAATATTTAATCACGCAGAGTTATAGAGCAGAAAAGTGGCCACGAATTTTTCATTTTAAGTTATCTTAACAAATAAAGCCAGGAAACAATAGAAAACAAAATTGAAAATTCCGGTTTTTTTTTCGAATATATTCGGAAGTATTCGGAATTTTTAAGGAATTTTAATTCGCAATACGGCATTTTATTGAGCATCAAATTGCGCAACTTTGACTCCATTTAACCAATCCTGTATCTCTCACGGTTTCCGAAATCCCAATGTATACAGGGTTGTTCACCACATACGACACGGAGTATTGTAGCTAAACGATGAGATTTTTACAAATTGTAAGTTTGGGGTTCGTTGAAGGACTATTAGAGCTACGATTTAAAAATATTTTTACAAGATACAGAGTGTCCCAAATAAATAAAAAATATCAAAGTTGTATTTTTTTAAATGGAACACCCTGTATATTATTCTATTTTTGTTTCTACGATTAAAATAAAGGTAAATTTGATTAGGGTTTATTATACTTAAATCTTACCGTTTTTGAAATATTTTCAATTTTGTGAAATTGCAGTAAAAATTTTAAGGCTTCATTTCTCCAAGGATATCAAAGTTTTTAATACTAAATATTTACTGAAGTTTATTTACTGATTAGTTATTGTGCTGCAATAATAAAAATAATACTACCTTATACAGAGTGTCTAAAAATTTATTTTAAATAATTATTAGCTTCAAACGGAAATAACTTCTTTAATTTAAATGGAATGCCCTGTATATTTTAGGAGAATCAGATGCACAATTAAATTGTTTATCAAATTGTATTATACCATTTTTTACCTATCCCTTCAAGTTTTCGTATAAAATGCATTTTCTTATAATTTAGACCTCATTTATCAATATATCAATGGAATATTGACATTTTAGATTGTTTTTAAAGCAACAAATGTACAAAATGTACAGACTAGTAATATTATCGTTTTTAGCAAAACGATAATATTACTAGCCCATTTGTATGCAAAAAGAAAACTATTTAAATCTTTATAAAAGAGTATACCATTAATTAAATATAACACCATTATTTGCGCCCATATACTAATTAATTACATACTTAATTGTGTTCGTTATTAAATTATTATAAATAAATGTGGATTTGAGTCAGAAATCAATATAATAATAAGTTATCAAATTAAAGTCTCTGTAGTTATAAATAAGCATTTATTAAAAAATGAAATATCATTTTTAAGGTGTTACTTTTTATCACACTGTCTAATGCCCATACAAAATTCAGTTTTTTAGTATTTGGAGCAATTATTATTAATCAAAGCAAACAGTCAGTTAATGTTGTTTGAATACTGGAATCATATTAACTGATCCTCTTTAACAAATATTGAACAGTTTTTTTTTATTTTTTAATGAAATAAACGAATTATATCGACAATATTAGTATCTGTACTCTTTAAAAATTTGATACATCTTTAAAAATAATCTAAAATGTCAATAGTCCATGGATATATTGATAAATAAGTTCTAAATTACAAGAAAATAAATTTTCTACGGATTGGAAACTTAAAGAGATAGGTAAAAAATGGTGTAATATAATTTGATAGACAATTAAATTGTGCATCTAATTTCGTAAAATATAGAGGGTGTTCCATTTAAATTAAACAAGTTATTGCCGTTTGAAGCTAATAATTATTTAAAATAAATTTTTAGACACTCTGTATAAGGTAGTATTATTTTTATTATTGCAACACAATAACTGATCAGTAAATAAACTTCAGTAAATATTTAGAAATAGAATAAAAAACTTTGATACCCTTGGAGAAATGAAGCTTTAAAATTTTTACTGCAATTTCACAAAATTGAAAATATTTCAAAAACGGTAAGGTTTAAGTATAATAAACCTTAATCAAATTTACCTTTATTTTAATCGTAGAAACTAAAAATGTAATAATATACAGGGTGTTCCATTTAAAAAAATACAACTTTGATATTTTTTATTTATTTGGGACACTCTGTCTCCACAGGAGTATGGTAATATGTGCCACAAAAATTTTATATATTAGACAAGAACTTAATTTTGTTAATGTTTAATAAATAAATTTTCTTTTGAAGGAATGTGTTTACTTATCTACAAAGTATATTGAGATTTTTAGAGAAAACTTATTCATCATTTTTAAAATTTACAAACACACGATATGTTAGAGCGGCTCTATCTTTACTTATTTCACTGACATCACAAATAAACTCACTCTGAATGATTGCAGGGGCCGGATCTGGCGGTAAATGGACGGGAGCTCCACATTTCGGCTTCAAATAGAAATGGTAAGCGATGTAATAGATGAATGCAACGACTGCAGCTGCTATGGTGAATCCCTGATGAACGCGGTTGAAGTTGTACGGGTACTCGTCGTAGGCTATGCCACCTAGGAGAGCCCCAAAACATCTACCTGCAAAAACGCAACATCATGTTTTATTAATACTATACAATTATTAGTCCAAGAAAATAGGCCTTCGAATACAAAGATTTTATTTTGAAAGATCTAAAAACGAATTTTGAAAAAAATTTTAATTTCACCCCCAAGAAGGGGTGAAATAAATAAATAAAATTATTTTTTCGAAAATTCGGAGAAACCGCAAGGACTAGAAAAAAAGTTCAAATAAAAGTTATAGAGCGTTCAATTTTACATGAAAAACATTTTTGTTCAAATCAAAATTAACCGAGATAGGGTGGATAGAAGCTAGGGAACAACTTTTATTGAAATATTTTTTTAAGTCCTTACCGTTTTTCTGAAATTTGAAAAAAAAATAAAATATTTTTTTTTTCACCCCGAGAAGGGGTGAAAAATATAATTAAAACTTTATTTATATTTTTCAAAAATATAATTAAAACTTTATTTATATTTTTCACCCCTTTTAGGGGTGAATTTAAAAAATCTTAATTGAAATTTATAATTTTCCAAACGAATTGAATAAAAATGTTAAATATATGAGTTTTTCAGGAACTTACATTTTTTTTAATTTTTACTATCATCCCCTAGCTTCTAGCCACCCTATCTCGGTTAATTTTGATCTGAACAAAAAAAGTATAGACATCATTTCTACAGGGTGTCCCACTTAAGATGAATACAAGCCAATATCTTGATTATTTGTTGAGCGATCTTTTTCATTTTTGGCAGGAGACTGTATGGCTATAAGACGTATATTTTGCC